TTCATTCTGCTTGTTTGATTCTTTATTAAATCCGTTAATGACACCTCACGCCAAAATAAAGAGGCTTCAAAGGTTTTCAGCATAATCAGCATAAATAGATATCTGCATGCGAAACTGCAGTATCTGTAGGCAGGGGATAAAAATTTGGTACCTAAAACTTTCTGGTTTCCATTTGTAGTGTGTGCTTTATGAAGTAGTCAGATTAGCATGCATGCAAAGTCTGTGTAAAGAGCAAAACAGCGGTTGCATAAGCCAAAAGTCAATCTCAAACCCACGGTTTATTCTCTTTGTTGCCTATGCAAGAAAAGGAAAGTTTTGAGTGACACAAAGTGATATTCAGGGATTTATTCATTCACGGACTTGGTGAATTTGTGTGTGTTGACATGAAGATTGAGCTAAATGCTAATTCAATAGCTGGGACCGCGTCCTCGTTTAGGTTTGATAGTGTTTCTAGTAGATAATGGCAGGCGGCTGGAGCGTGAATTGAGGCTGCGGCTTGTGGAAGGCCTCAGACATGGCAGCTCCCAGACCGGGCAGATCCCCATCTACTAATGAGAAGTGAATGAATTGCAAAAGGGAGGGAAGGTGGGGCATGACAACGAGGACAAACAGCTTGTAGTTGGGCGGGGGGTTATATATAGGAAAGAACTGGAAGGGGCATGTATCGAGGAGGGATCCCACTCTGAAATTTCAGGTAAATTATCCTAAATATTGGCATTAAAATTCTTTCACATTCAGTTTTATTCTTATAAGCCAAAGCACCAGAGAAATAATAAAAACGAATGCAGTACAGCTATAGTATAATTTGTGGTTTGTTGCTTTCATAATGTTTTAAGTGAATAAAGACAACCTGATGGTATTCAATAACTTCAGGGCCTAAGATGTAACTGTGTGCCAAGCTTGTTTAGTTTGGTGAACTCTGATCGCGGAGGAGGAATTTGCTGTCAAAACAAACAAACGGAGATTTCATTACAGTCAGATGCCCTCAGAGTAAAATGAAAGTGTAAGATTTCATGGCAGCTCATCCAAAGGTTCACATGTCAGCACATGCCAGCATCCTTGGTGTGCCAGAAGAAAAGTCATCTGGAGTCCTTGAATATCACTTGATCATTTCAAGGCAGTCCATTTCACATGTGGTCAAGCATCTAAGTAATCAATAAGGTCTTATGTAGAGCCCAGTTTCATCACTCAGAACCGCTTTATATGATCATTAAAGTGATACTTCAGTACTGAAATGCTGCATCATGCTTGAAAATGAGTTGCTGCCTTCGATCGGCCTGTTATCTATCAACATTGCTGAGACAGAATGGCATCCACTTATTGACTTAGACATTTTAAATTCAGGTCAGATAACCCACTGAAGCCCTGTTAGGTCCAATGGACCCTGGGAATAAGAAGAGGTTCTGACCCAGTAAGCCGTCTCTCCGTCCATCCATTCTTTTTGTGCAGCTCTTCTATCAGTCTTGGCTGGACGCTCAGTAGCTATGGCGTCCTCCCAGTGGAGGCCCATTTTAAAGCTGTCATCCACCCTTCCTTTGCATACTTTTTCTCCTTTTAGTGCAAAAACCTCTTCATTGATCCCATGGACTATTCAGCTCCTGCCACTGGTTCATTTTCTTGCTTTATGAACCACATTCCTGCTTGGTTCCCAGTGCTTTTTATCAGCATCCTCCATTTATGTGGCCAGCCGAGTGGTCAGTATGTGTCTGTATGCTCTTTCTGGAACCGATCCACTTTGCCCTCCACAGTGAAGAGGACTGAAGGACCTGGACCACAGCCAGCTGGCCTCCAGTTAGTACAGCCAGGGCACAATAGCAAAGCCAGGCAACACAGAGGAGGCCAATGTTGTCCAAATCATGCGTTTTCCAGCACCATTGTCCTCGCCTCTGTCTATATGCCTTAGACATAGTGACTGTGCCTAAATCAAAGAATGATTTCTGCAAACATTTGCTTAGCACACTTAAAGGACTGTAAGATGACTTAAATGTTTGCACTGATTGGCCTTCTCAGCGGCTCATGGAGTGAAAAACAAACTATTAGTACAAACACTACATAATTTGCCTAGTTTAGGAGCATGTATATATGTAATAGTTTATACACTCACCAGCCACTTTATTAGTTACACTGTGCTAGTACCTGGTTGGGCCCTCTTCACACAGTTGCTGCAGATTTGTCAGCTGCACATTAATGATGCGACTCATGTTCCATCACATCTCAAAGTGCTCTACTGGATTGAGATCCGGTGACAGCATCGTGTTCAAGAAGCTAGTTTGAGATGATGAGAGCTTTGTGACATGCTGTTCCATCTTGCTGGATGCAGTCATCAGCAGATGATGGATGTGCTATGGTCATAACGGGATGGACACGGTCAACAATAATATTCAGACTGTGGCATTTTTAAAATGCTCATTCGATACTAGGGGGACCAGACGCATCACACCACCATCAGCAGCCTGAACTGCTGATACAAGGCAGGATGGATCCATCTGAATTTAAAATCACTGTTGCATTCCCCTCTGACCTTTGACATCAACACAGCATTTTCTCCCAGAAACCTCTTGCTTACTGGATATTTTTTCTTTTTCATAATCTTCACTGAAAAGCCTAGAGATGGTTGCGTGGGAACATCCTAGTAGATCAGCAGTTTCTGAAATTAGTCAGATCAGCCTGTCTGGCAACAAAACCAAGTCACTTTCATAGTGACTTGTGTACTTCCCCATTCTGATGCTTGGTTTAAACTTCAGAAGGTCATCTTGACCATGTCTACATGCCTAAAGTCATTACTGTATGAGTAGCTGATTACATATGTGCTATAATGGCAATGCGTACATAATAAAGTGGCCGGTTGGAGTACTCATAACAGGAAGAATCTTGGCTAGGTAACAACTGCTGTTCTAAATAAACTGGTGAACCTAAAGCCAGTGAATGAGAGGAAGTGCAAAAACAAAGGAAAGAAAATCCTTGAAGGAGGGAGGTGAACTCAGGCCAAGACGCTGACAGCTGTGAGATGAAGGACGGCACAGTCTCTGCTGGTCTCAGAACAGAAAGTCGCTGCAGACGTCAAAATACAGCAGACATCCAGAGCCGACTGTAGGAACCAGATTTTAAAGAAAATAATGGAGCTTTTGGTGTTTAGTGACCAGTTCAACTGTACATTATACATCTCTATATGAACTATTTATTATAGCTCTCTTTTTGGACATCTATCCAAAACCTATTCACCCATTTTCAATTGTTGTGATTACAGTGATTAAAAACAGAAAACGAAAAATGTTTCTTCTCATGTCCACAGCCTGCAGGAAATCTGAACTCAAACTGTAACAGTATAACAGCTAAACAGATTCAGATTCACCATGTAAAGTTCTCAAAATATACATTTTATTCAAAATATGTTAATGTAACCATCAATATATTCCAGTAATTACAAAATCAGTAGTTTTGTCTTCATAATTTGATCCTTAAACACAAGCCTGGATCTGTGTATGTGATCACAAGTAACTTTTGAAACAGGCTACTGCCCCTTTCTGCGTCATACTGAGCAGTCGGTACTTTTCTTGAACAAATTCCTGTTCAGTTGGATTGAATTTAATTAATAAGGAAACAGGGTTGAACTTTTTTTTAATCAACTTGTTTGCAGCTACCAGAAGTAAGCTGCCTCATAACAAGATGACATCGCTGTACCTAAAATAAGGGAAATGGCAAACTGTTTGACTTCATTTTTACTTCCTCAAGTTGAGGTGAAAAACAAACTGACCATTGCAGAAAAATCATGCACAAAAGTTCAGTCTTTCAGCTTTAAATGCACCACAGACACTGGTGTCTTAACACTCAGCCATATCTGGGTATGCGCTCGACTCTGCAGACATTTTGGACTCCTGGGACTACTTGAGGGTCTACTTAATCGCACAGTCCCCCCCCCTTGGTACAACCAAAAGTCTGCTAACACTATTCACCCATATGGTTAACTGTAGTTTCCTATATGTTCATCAACAGTAACAACACAGACATGTAAATGCAAAAACATGGGAACATAACAGGGGGAGTACTGATACAAACATATTTACAAACCTGTCTGTACAAATACTCGAACGCTGTACAGTTGATGTGGTGAGGAAGAAGGGCGATGGCGTGGCATTACAGGTAATCACATTTTCAAAGAAGTCGGCCATCAGAAAGCTTCCCGCCAAACTAAATTATTTTCAACTCATGGAAGACTCTTTGGCACAAACACATTTAAAGGAGCTCTTAAATTTAAGGAATAGTTTCGCATTCAGTGTAGCCTGACTGGCTTCCTGGCTGCAGGTTTGATGACAAGGTTGATACTAAACTCCTTCTTAGTCTCCACAAATAGAAACTACTTGCCTTAACTTACCATGAAGACTCGAAACAAAGAGAAACATTTTGCTCTGAGAAGAAAACAAAGTCTCACTAATGTTCTTCGCTTTTTTCCTGCCATGTCAAGGCAGGAAAAGGACGCCTGCAGTGTTAATGGCTTTATTGCATTTAGGTAAGCCTGCTCACGACACACTGTGGTTAGCGGTTCTGCATGTGCTTGTTTTAAACTAAGACAAGTGTCACTGTGAGCGCACCAGCTATCATCTAATGATGTGGCAATTACCAGTTTTTGAAGACTTTCAGTGTAGCTAGTAAAAATCCAGACAACTGATATCACAGTCAAGATTTCCTGTTACGCAAGTCTGTCATTTACAATCTGACAATCCTGCAGAGATTTAAAAGTCTTCAAACAATAGCTCATTGTTTTGCCACTGCATTCACGTCAGTGCATTCCTCCTTTGCTCTCAGACCCTTTGCTTGCTGAGGTGCAAACTGCTCAATATTTCTCAGACAACGTCTGATAGCAAAAATCAGAGTCTGGGTGTTAATATGCTGACTGCTGGCTCTAGCTCCTCTCATCAACTGTTTCTAAAATGATGAAATATTCATTTAATTCAGCAGACAAACCACTACATGTAGTACTGTTTTTTTTTTCCTTTAGGGGGGGGGGGGGCATATCACATTACCTGATATAACAGCCTGGGCTCGCTACATACCAAAGATACTGAGGCCTCAAGCATTCTTCTGAAAACTCATTTTTCATTTACAGTAATCATTACATAACATACAGTTTCAGTTTAGAAGACAAATACAGTGACTCGGGGGAAGTAAAGCCACACAATGGCCACCAGGAAAAAAACAAAAACAAAACATAAACAAATAACACTGTTATTTGTAGTGACATATTCATGAATCCATCCAGTATGATGGCTGGGTTTTTTGTTTTTTTTAATTACACGTACATAACGCAGACAGTAACCCTCATTTCATTTGAACCGTTCTTCCATGTCAGAAGGTGCTCAGCTGGGGAGATTCGCCTCCCCCCCACCAACTCACACACACTCTCCACACGCCATCCAAATAATAAATACACTCGACTTTAGAAACCATGTTTTTTCTTTGTTTTTTTGTTTTTTTACAATTTACATTTCATAAATAAAACATGTACAGTAATTTTCAACCATGTTTGCTTAAATTATCTATACGAGTGAGCACAAAGTGAATAATGCATAAAACAAAGCACGACCTGTCAGTTTAGGTTCCACGTGAGAGGACGGTGAGGTGACGCATAGTTGACGGAATATAGTGACCGTTTCAAACACTAGTGCAGTACTTTTACTCTTTCCGGTTATCTCTCACTGTAGAAGTACACTTCATGAGTATTTTAACACTGTTTTATGGCATTCCTTTCACTTACTTTTCCAGGCAGCATGTCAACACGGAAAGAGATGTCACAGATCTCCTTTTGCCATGTTTTGCATTTTCTCATGTGTTGTACTACAACAACACGGTGTATTACAAGATATCAGCACCCTTCCAGGATGACTGTCCTGCTTGTTTGAACATGACAAGAATGTGCCACATGTGGTTTGATAACAAGATTAGTTTATCCTGGAAGAAATGCTGTTCTAATGAAATGATACCGATCTGTTTGTGGGGTAACAGACAAAGTTTCTTCCATGTGTGAAAGTAGAGGATTCAGTACCTTGCGATCTTCTCTCCTAATTCTAAATTTCTGTCAAAAAACACTCCCCATCCTCTTTGATTTTTAACAGGGAGAGCGGGACCACTTCTTGTCTTTACATTTGTTGTGTAAAGAGACTCCATGTATGAAAGGAATTTCCTCCACTTCTCAGCTGCACTTTAAAGGAGTTACGAGACTGGGAGGTGAAAGGAAATGTTTTCATACTTTAATCGGGCCGCCTGTCTTGAAGACATTTTTGAACCGGGAGTGGTGAAGGATGTTCAAAGACTTTCCTTCTTTCTTCTCCTCCCTTCTACAGAGCCTTCCTTGCTTCCCTCCTCTCAGTGCAAACACTTCCTGTTCTGGTAACAGTCACATGACCGCGCACCAACTATGACACGCAGCAGCAGGTCCGCACCTTCGGCTGCTCCTCCTCCATAGGCTGCTTGAATTTGAGCAGGGGTGGGTCGCCGCTGGCTGGGGTATAATATACGGCGTTGCCATTGGAGGAGACCAGCGGCATGCGAGGATCCTCAGAGGTGGTTTTGGCATCAGTGAAGGAGTCTGTGGAGCCGTTACCAAGGTGACCGTTGAACAAGGGGTGGTTCAAGAGCTTGGCAGCAGCTCGCTGCTTTTTCAGCTCTGACAGAGTCTGAGGGCGCTCTTTTGGCCAGGCTTCCTCCTGGGACGGCTGGGTGGTGACAACCCCACCCTTACTGGACGTCGGTGTGCTGCCATTGGAGGGAGGCTGAGGTGGCATGGATGTTGTCGTGGAGATTAGGCCGTTCTGCTTTCCTTCTTTGAGGATGGTGGGTAGGTTGGACTTGTCGGGCAGCTCCACAGCGACAACAGGCTTGACCTGCAAGACATCAATAAGGATTACTTTAATCCTCTGTAAGACTTTCTTTTAGCTCATTAAATACACAAAGGCCTGACTGTGCAGGGCAGATCAGCAAACTTTGATCTGCTGCCGAGGCTTACAAAGTTCAAATGAAATCAGATGTAAAGCCAATTTATTTGCTTCATTATAGAGAAAATCTCCCAACTGTTCAGAGTTATTTTGTGCCAGAGCAACATTTCTCTGAATGTCATCTGATAATCTGCAGATAATGTGTGTAAAAAGTTGAGGTTACAATAAGCAGCAGCGGCGGCAACAGAGTCTACTGATAATGGAAGACAGTATTTCAGTTTTTTCTGTTGTGGGTTTCCTTTTGTGCAATTGCTCCTGGGTGCTGGAGGAAGTCCTCTGTCTGATTCATCCAAATGTGACATTTCAGCTTCTGAGTGGGAAGAATCATCTTTCTACCTGTGCTTAAAAATATCTCTCACACACATTATTATCTGACAGCGTGTGTGTGAAGGGGCGGTAAATTCCACCAAGCCACCCCCCACCCACCCAAAAAACCAAAGTTAGAACTGTATAGAGCTATTTATGTAATCCTTAAAAATAGTCTCACATTAACTACTTGGCTATTCTCCTGATCAGACTCCTTTTCTTTCTCGTCCTCGTCTTCCTTTTCTTTCCTCCACACGATGGCCTCGGTCTCGTACTCTTTACGACACAGGTTGTGTCTGTCCGACAAACTGGCTCGCCGCACCACTTTTCTGTGAACACAAGTGGAATTCCCAGTAAGAAAAAGCAGCTAGAAAAATAACAGCTTACCATATATGGTACTTTTACACATGAAAGTTAAAGAGCGGAAGAACTTATACACACGCTAAACTGACAGCTTCATTATGTCAGACATTATGTCATTATATCAGCGGAGACTTCTATCCACCATTCTCCTATTAAGTGTAAATACAGCTGTAAGTATACAGAACAGATGTTTTGTCTGTTTTCTAATTTCTCCAAATAACAAAGCCTGTAGTAGCCATGCTACCACCAACAGATGTCAGCACATACCCACGACTGCCTGCACTGGACGTTCGCCTGCACAGCGAGGTCTTGTGCTTGAGCTGTGACTTCATGATAATGTCGTGTTTGTGTTTCAGGTCCAGCAGGATGGCTCTGAACTCCTCGTCCTCACACAGATCTTAAAGCAACATGGGTAAAAGGGACACTGTTAGTAATGCTTAACATAAAAGTGAACACTTGGAAATGAGACCCTGCTGAGACGATACTTTTTTTCCCCTGAACTCATTACCAGGTGCACCGGACAAGTGAGTGCTACAGTATACTGTAAACATACCAATTGGAGTCTCCTCCAGGAAGGTCTTGGCATTGAGACTGGCTCCGTGAGACACCAGCAGCTCTGCCACATGCATCTAAAGCAGCAGCAACAACAACAACAGTGGAAGCAATTTGTATTAATGGTTCCAGAAACCTTTGTGTGCGCCTGAGGCTCTTATCTCTTTCCTGTTGTGTTTTCCTTACCTGACCCCAGCACGCTGCAGCATGAAGAGGCTGCCATCCATCTGAATCTCTGAGGTCCACACGAGCCCCCCCCTCCAGCAGCAGCTCTGCAGCCTGCGCGTAGCCATTTGCTGCTGCGATGTGTAGCTGCAACAACAGAGAAGGGAATAGAGATTGTTTTCCCCCAGTGCTCAGGATTTATTGTTTGCATGCAAAAAAAAATAATGTGAAATTCATACTAAAGTGGCAGTGAACATGCCAAAGAACGTTATATAGTGGTAACTTACAATTGCTTACTATGTGAGACATTACACCTGCAAAAATCTACAAATAAAGTATTTTTTTGCTTCTAAGTTTAAAGATGTCAGTTTATTACTGTGCATCTTCTAATATTATGTTAAATTAGGTGTAGATTATTGTGGTCAATTCAAGGTCCTGATCAAATTAGGCTGAGCCTGCCTCCATGAAACAACCTAATCTGTTAATGTTAAGATATTAATTCTTGTCCTAGCCTCATAAAACTAGCCTGGAACATGTCATCACTCAGAGGGAATTTGTAATCTTGCCCGAGAGACCTATCCAACATACTGTAAAGAAAAAAAACGAACTGAAACTAATTTACCATTTTCAGACAACGAAACCTAAACCTGAAACTAAACTGAAAACAAACATGATTAAAGTAACCCACGCAAACACGGGAACAACATGCACACACCACACAGAAAGGCTCTAACCAGTTGGTGGAGTCAAACTCCACTGAGCCAACAGTGCTAACCCCTGCACCACCGTGCTCCCCAATAATAAAAACAATGTTTAATAATAAAGTAAACGGGTAGTTTCAAAAGTTCTAATCAATAAAAGTCTCAACAGACTGAAGGGCTCTGTCCCAGAAGTCTTTTCATCTTCCAAGGAACAACTAACAAATTCAGAGCCTGTCATCGAAGATTGTGTGCCTCAGTGTGATTAATGTGAAGCTGGGATAAATAATTTGAAGCCTGGCTATTTACTGGGACCCGTGTAAAAATTAATGTGAGCTCGCCAACTAGAATATTTTAATAGCAACATTTTGTTAAAAATAACTTTTAATCAAATGGACCAATATGGCAAGGCCATGATGATCCACTTGGTAAAATAAATCCGCTTGGCATCTTTCTTGGCCTTAAGACAACAATTCTGATGGCTAAAGATCCAAACGGGACACAAAAAAAAACAAAAAACTTTTTTATTGCTTAGAGGCATAAAACAGATGATTTATGTATAAAAGGGCTTTACAGCAACCTAAGCACGATAACACTCAAGCATCAACAATTTCCTCCAGTTCAGCAAAGAAGACCATATATCGTAATTTAGAAATCTTCTTTAAATAAAAAGTAACAGGAACAAGAAATACATTTTACAGGTGAATCAAAGCCCAGACTATAATCAGACATCCCGAACTCTGAACCTAAAGAAGCAAAAGGTTCAGGAGGAGCTATAATTGTGTTCTCAGTTGATGTTTAGAAGAAGGTAATGGCTAGACGGCCATTAATCCAGGTTAAACAGTGGTCCAGGGTTGACAGCCTGTTCAGCTGGTGAGGTTTAAAATACATATGCAGCTTAATGTCAATGGCATAGAAATGTCAGAAAAGGATGAATGATGGCAGATGAAGAAACAACATAGACAGAAAAATAATAAGGGACCCAGAACTGAACCTTGTGGAACTCCACAGGTTAAGGAAGCGATGTTAGAGTAGAACTCGTTCGTCCTAACAGAGACGGTCCTATTAGATACATAAGTAGAAAACCAATCTAACAAAGAGCCAGAGATCAGATGAGAAAAGAGAAATAATGAAAAAATGCAAAGTATAATTACTCTGACAGAATCATCAAGTTTTTACACCGAGTCTTTTTCAGCATTTTGCTTATAAGAAATAGCAACTAAATAATGATCTAATTCAGCTCCACTTTATACATTTAAAAGAGAAGCAGCAGAATATTTGAGTGTCTCAAAGGTTCTCAGAGTAGAATATGCTTTCAACAACCTCAAAATGTTGTTTTAGGAGGAAACAAAAGCAAAAATCTTTTTTTCATTTTTTCATTTTGCTTTTTTAAATCACCAAACTGAAAATTGTTAATTTCAGTTTTTATTGGAACCTCCTTTGAATATTTTCCTTTCATGGCCTTCAAATTACTGAATGCCTGAAAAAGAAAAATATAATATGATGGCAGCACTTGGCCTTTCATTCTGCCAATTTCTAAAGCCCCACACAAACTGTGGCTGTGAGGTTGAACAATAACAAACTGGTATAAAATATGTTTATTGCAACAGGGAAGTTGGCAAGTGGCGTGACATTCATGAAAGTCTGGTTTGCAGCTTCACGTGTCACTTACAGGAACTGTACTTAATGTTGTTTGCCTCTTTTGGTGAGACCGCAGAAGTAGGTTATGTTTGGGATAACAGAAAGCACCATCTATTCACCAGTCTATCTTTTGGAAAATGCCATCAGCATTCCAGAAGATCGAATATCGAATCCCAGCGTTCCTTTATAGGCATCTAAAGGCCGTGAGACACACAGAATTAGCTAAAGGAAACAAGCTAAAGTTGTCTAACATGCCATAAAAATACAACTAAGGAACACATGAGTTTAACAGAAAACATCACTGTAATTGTAAACCAATGTACCGGTGCATCCCATCAAAGAGTGGTTACATTGATCAAAACTAAAAGACAGCCTCCTCATTAAGGACAAACTTCCTCATCTAAGTCAGTGTCAGATGAGGCTGAGGACGACAAGTAATAATAGGACAAACCTGAGGCAAATGAAAAGATCATTAGCATTAGCCAAATGACAAATATGACCTTTTGGCGGGACTGGACAAAAAGCCGCTGAAAACATCTAAACCCGATCTAATAACAGTCTGTCCGGCTTACTGAGACGTTTCACTCAAAACCAGAAATGTCAACCTCATGCTGACAGTACAGGTTAAGCCGGGGGACCATCAGAGTCTTTGCTGAGATTTTTGTTCCGAAACAAACCGGTGGACCGACACTGCACTGCCTGTGTCACCGTGCCAAAAGTTTCATAATGTCAGCATACTGTGAGCACTCCAGTTCCTCCCACAGTGCCACCAGCAGCATGTCCTGATTTACCCTTCCACTGGTCAAACGCATGCCGGGACAAGTACTCTCTTGTCTTCCGTTTTCACCCACAATCTAACGACATGCAGCTAAATGTGTGATTAAAGGACTGAAATAACCTCCATCGCCGTATCTTAACTTAACAATGCGTTTCACTTGTTATTTCCAGTCTGAAATGCTTTGTGTACATGTGAAACTTCACTCGCCTCACTCATTCTCCTTCACAAGGCTAAAACTATAGTTTTCTTAAAAATAAACAAAACCTGAGATGACAGTAATTGAAAAGAGAGGACTGCAATAATAGACCCATAAGTTAGGAGGCAGGCGCCAACGTGGTGCACTTAAGAAACTGCTCATCTACTGGGATTTTCCCTCACAACTGTCACTGGGGTTTACAGAGAATGATCTGTAAAAGTGAAAAGTGAGTTCTCTGGGTGAAAATGACTCATCGATGTGAGAGGTCAGAGGAGAATGGCTAGACTCCTTCGAGGTGATGAAGGCAAGAATAACTCAATTAAGCACTCATTACAACCAAGGTATGCAGAAGATCACCTCTGAACACTCTGGTTCAGTTTGCACACCAAAACTGGACAAAAGCAAATTGGGAAAAACATCCACTGGTCTGATGAGTCTCAATTTCTGCTGCAACATTGCGATGTTAGAACCAGAATTTAAGCAACATGAACGCACGGATCCATCCTGGCTTCTATTATATAGTAGAACAGCATTATAGTATATAGTTCAGGCTGGTGGTGGTGATGTAATGATATGGGGGATATGTTTTTTGGAACACTCTAGGCCACCCATTACTACCAATTAAGCATCATTTATATGCAGCAGCCTGCCCAAGTATTGCTGCTGACCATATCCATCTCTTTATGACCACAGCATACCCATCTTCTGATGGCTTCCCCCAGCAGGATACAAAGCTCAAACCATCTCAAACTGGTTTCTTAAGCATAACAATGAGCTCACTGTCTTCAAATGGCCTGCACAATCACCAGACATCAATCCATCCACAACAAACCACAGAGAAACATTTCCAGCTAAATCTACACAAGGAAGAATTAAGGCACTTCTAAAGATATAAGGAGGTGTGTCCAGTGAGTGTATTTTTATATATAAACTTTGTGTTTATGTGTCCTTCGTCAGGTTTATGGCACAGAGAACAACACGTGACACTTGTTACTTTTCCTTACTTTGTTTACACTTTTTTTTAATAAACTTCCAACAAAAATGAAAAATATTTCTCTTCTCAATCTGTCTGAAGTCACAAAGCATACAAATCATTGTGCCTGCACATCAAAACAGGATCATAAAAATGCATTTCACTGGAAGACAAAAGATTAACCTTACATAACTTCCTGTCAGTTCAGGGTCTCTTCCTCTCATCTGTGCCAGGGATTTTAATAAGGCATGCTCTAGTTTGCTTCATCGTGCTCGAATGAAGATTAACAGGATGTAGAAAGCAAAGGGACAAGCAGCTCAATCACACAATCTGTAGTGAGACTTTAAAGCTTAACGGGGTTATTTTGGGATACTACTATCCCCTAGCTACTTCCATCCAGTGATCCGTCACTGTGTTTCCCCCGTGTAGCTAAATCCCTAATACATAATAAAGACTTCATTAAGGCATCTGACATTATATGCTCTACTCAGTAAATTATGTGCTAATGATTTTTTTTGTACCTTGCTTGACTTTTATTGCATCACTGTACTAAAGTGCTAAACAAAACAAATTTAGGGACTTATTAGGTACACACAATCCTCGCGTACCTTTGCACTATGCAGCAAAGCATAAAGACATGAGGGCCTTTATTAGTTTTCATTCTCTTGTCTACTTAATCGCTCTAAACACACTTATGCATCAAACTTATAAACTTTAGGGGTTGGCATAAAACGCACACAAAAGGCCAACAGGAGCACACACACTACTGAAAACCAAATATCCAATCTGACCATGTTTTCTTTGATGAAATGCTGCTTTTATGTTTCTTGTCATCTCTTCCCGCTCCTCTTAAATGCAATTTTATCATCACTACAGGTTTACTGTAATCTAACATTTGTTTAAATAATGACTGCAGGTATACTGAGCATTCATAACTGGAGCACTCAGACCATTTAAAATCATACAGCTGATTTGTCTTTAAAAAATTATAATGAGGCTCTAAATGCCCGATTAGCTTTGGAGGTTTTACGGCCTCGCGAGACAGTGTTGCAGAGCACATGATCTTTAAAAGGTGAATCTGTAATAAAGACGGTCCACTAAATATTTACACACCATTTGCTTTTTTCCCCCCCTCTTTGTTCAGACCTGTGACGCCTGATATTAACGCCAGAGGTTTGTCTCTCTGCAGCACATCTGGAACCCGGTGGGTAGGAGGGCTCATTTCATGTTTAGCTCTCTTATCTTATTTTATTTCTAACTGCTTCCTTTTCAAATGCTTTTTCTTCATTTCCTATCATACGTAATATTAAAGAAGATCAAAGTTTCCAGTAATGAGGTCAGTATATATCCAAATAATCCCTATGAGCCAGCAGCTCAGGCTTCACGCAGACTGCTTTAAATGAGCCAATTCAGACAGCTTTTTTCTACTGGCTGGTGATGTTAATAAAAACGCATATCCCCAACATGGTCATCTCCGCCACACAGGTCTATGTGTGAGCCAAGAAGCCCTAAGGGGTGTACTATGGGGGGACAGCAAGCTGTGTTGAGCTTAAAGTCAAGAGTTTTCCAGTGTCATGATGGTGGCTCTGCTCTCTCTGTCTAATATTTTATACATACAAACTGTTGAGCCACACCTTACTAAAGCATGAAAGAAGCACTGCTGAAATTTGGCTACTTTCAGTTTGTGATGCAGAAAATGTGTTTATGTTCTTGGTGCTAATCTGCTGCTGAGCCTCTTTTATAGCTGCTGGAATTACAGCTACAAGAAAAATGAAAAAAAAAATCCATTAATTACATACTGAATACTCATTCAGTCAATAAAAATAATTTCATTGCTGACTAAACTAAAATGATTTCCATGTCTCCTTTATTATGCTAAGGGAGAATCTCAGACCTGAACACAATGAATAATTTTCAGTATTTAAACGTGTAAAAGGTTTCCCAGCTCTAATGTACCGTTCATTTTAGAAACAAACAGCAGTATCAACACCGGGCCGAGCATTAAAATACATTATGTATATAATTTTCTCTCGTCTTCTTTGCAGCAACACAGCTGCATTTTACTGATATATTTTTTATATTCTTTATAGCTCTCCATCTTCTGTTCATCTGATAATATTTCTGATTAGAGTAGATAATGCTCACTTGAGCAATTTAGCTCTGAAGAGTGAAATGATGTGTAAACACCAACTTTTTCGTGAGCCTGCACGGATTCTGAAGAAGGAAGCAGCTTGGGTTAACAGAGAAAGTTGATCCCGACTGAGGGTTTGGGTTTTGTCAAGCCAGCTTGGCATGTTGAACTTGCTTTGTAGTCTATTCATCTGCTCATCTGCTATGCAGATCTTCTGTTTATATGAGAAACAGAAGAAAGGAGGGGAAGATGAGAGGGAAGCAAACATCTGAACAGAAGAAAGTTGCTTTAAAGTGTGCTACAACATCGTTTTTCTTTCCTCAGACAGTGGATAAACTGAGACGCTGCACCAAGTCCCAGTGTAAGATGAATCAGATGAATTTTATAAATGTGTATCATCCAAAACTACTCTTGCAGAATCCAAGGGTAGAAATATGGAGCCACAAATGAGCACAATAGGACCACTTTAACAAGCTTACATGGAAAAAATGGCTTCAGCCCAGAAAATAATATTAAAATCATTTCCTCTTTATTGCACCAAGATTTGTTTGCTTAGATAACCCAACAAAAATAGCAAGAAAAGGCTTAAACCCCAATATTAGAAACCTCCGGGTGATTCACCAATGGAAGAAGCCTCCAGAGCGTACAGACAATTAAAGCAGTGATATGGCAACACACTAACTGCATGGCTGCAATGCATGCATATGTCCACCCTGCTAATCTTTCCTAATCTTTGAATGTAGAAATCTTAATATCTGAATTCCCTTTTTTAATAATATAAAAACATTTTGTCTGAAGAGCAAAAGCAGCAGCTGTGGTCCAGATGATATCACAGTGAAGATTTTAGCCTCTCAAGACAATTTCTACCCTCATCTATGGCAGACTACTCTAACAAAAGCTACCCGCAGTAACAAAACACTTGTAGCTAATTTAAAGCCACAGTCAATTATATCCCAGACAATGTATTGTGGAGCAGCTACAGAAAGGCAGCTGCATTAGCTGCCTATTAACACCACACACAGAGCTTAGCTTTGCCAAATTAGTGCACCATCACTGAGTAACCTGAGCACATAAATCTGCCACTTTACATCACATATTATATTAATCTAAGTGTATTTATGCAGTACACGCATCCAATTTTATCATTTTAAGCGAGCGCATTCTGTTCCACAGAAACAGAATTAAATGTTTACAATATTAAAGCAGCAAGAACTTCAGGGATGCTGTTTTAAACTGAGTTTAGTTGAAATTTTTAGAAGAAAATCAAAGCAGATAAACTTACCAGAGTAGCTCCCTGAGAGTCCTGCTGGTTGACCTTTTCTCCTTGACTCAGCAGTTCCTGAATGTCTCCTATCATCTTCCTCTCCGTCGACGCTCGCGTCTCGTTGATCATCTCCTGGGTGATGCCTGTCAGTCAAACATGCAGGCAGAGCAGCCAGAGTTAATCGCAGGGGAGTTTGGTCCTGACACTTTTAATATATAACTGCAGCCTGGGCTGCTGAAATGGACAGTTTTTGATGTGAGGCGAAACCCACTTGGGTATGATACCTCTGAGACACGTACCTGAAAAATAAATGTAAAAAGTTAGTAAAGCCTTCTTCAAACTGCAACTGTAACGTCTTCTTTTTATCTAAGGAGGATGTTTTCTGCCAGCAACAGTTTCCACAGTAGGTTGGAAGCAAAGCAGAAATAACTGCTTTTTGTTATCTTAGTTTGATAATATTTTAAATAAATGGTATTTGTAATAAAAAAAATAATGCTAGTGTTGAAGGTGAATTTAATCTTCACATAAAAGTTTTTAAAATGCATTTATTTACTGAAAATCAATGCAGAGCTGCAAACATTTGGACTTGAGCATCTGAAAGTATAAAGTGACCATTTTCTGCAGGTAGCAGAGTAGTTTATTCTCATGCTGGCTGTCCTTCCATGTCCTGGCAAAGAGGTTTGTTTGCAAAGACGGTTTGGCCCAGGTGTTTCTGGATGTCACTTCCCCTCTAAATTCCTCGTTTAATCCATCTTCCTGCTGCCAGGTAGGGCTAAATACTGAGACTGCCACACTTCAGCAAAGAAGTTATCCTCCTTCGGCTCAGTAACATTCAGCGTTAATTGAAAGAGGTGTCAGTCAAGACTGTCTCTTGTATTCTTGCAGTGTAACTATCAAAATATGTGAATTAGAAGAGATCTGGAGCACAGGGTCAAAATATCTACACAACCAAAGTAAACACCCTGCCCTAATTTAACAAAAAAATAAATAAAAAATGGGTAATTGAATTCTCATTCATCCTTAAAATGCTGTTTACGGAGGACACTCCCCTGGATCTGATCATTCTAACTTGAAATAAATTGTAGAAGCAGTCAGGTCACATTTGACTGCACATTTTCCTTTGTTAGGATTTCAGCCCCGTGACCTTTCTCAGTAATAAATTTGTCACATAAAGCTGAAGGCAATGGCAGTCAGTCATCCACAACTCCTACTGCAATGTCGCTCTTTTGTTTTAGCAGGTGTCCACGCATGTGAAGGTTAACAGTCGTGATGAAGGGAGTTAAAAGGGTGAATTGAATTTGCAATCAGAGTCACCTGGAGGGGTTTTAAAGGCTCACGGATCAAGGAAATGACAGCCCCTTTAGTCGATTTAATCCATGCCTCCAGCAAATGTTTTCTTCTGTGTTTTCTGTTGTTTCTCTCAGATACTCGTGTCACAAATTCTACCTCTTTCATATTTTGATTTTGCTGCAGTGATGCGCCACAGCCTGAAAAAAAAAACTCCCAGAAGGATTAGAGGATGTCAAATCTAGAAAATATTCCTCACCCTCAAACAAAGGATTGTTCCCCCTGTTTTTAGCCTTTTCAGGAAACGTACATAACTGGCAGTAAATGTGACTACATTAGTTTCAGGTGCTTCAAATACCCTGTTGAGTTATAAAGTTGTATTTAACTAAGTAAACAATATAAATGAGAACAGACAAGAACATCGGGCGCAGTGAAAAACCTAACCAAACAGTTCATAGCGGTTGGACAAAAGATCTGGTCAAATATTCACCCAGAACCATTGATCAGGTGTTCAATGTTTGTATGTGTGTGTGTGTGTGTGGATGCAGCAGGCTTGTATAAACATGCAGTACATGAGGACATGATGTCATTCAAGTATACACAAGCAGTTATATTTTTGCACATAAGGCAACAGAGTGTCCTTTCTGTCTTAGTGGCTACTTGTTTAAACAGCTCCTAACTGCAGTGTTAAGCAGAAAGGAGCCTGTCTTAAAATGAAATGTCTGCAATTCCTAGTAAAGGGTAACCATGCTACCATGGCAGATATCTGGTATGGCAATCCTATAGCAGTTTCCTGCAATAGTACAGTAATAAAGACAGTGACAGCTGTGATGGCTGCACAGCTGGCTAAAGCTGTCTACACTGCACTTGTATCTGTTTTTACTTACATTATGAAAATGTACTTATTCTTAATCTTGTGAAGAATTAATTACTTGGAAAGCGGTTTTAGAAATAAGTCACATAATGATTTTTTTTAGCTCCAGTCTTTTTTCTTATTCACTGCTCTTTGTGGATTTGGCCAAATGAATTCCACATGATATAAGCAGATGTTATGCATGCTACATGGCTGATTTCCAACCCCTAGGAACTATAAAACTAGTATAAAATGAATAATTCAGTGAGTAAGTCTAATCAGCATCATTATCATAAATATAAATTCCTGCTAGGTTTGACGTCACCCAGTAACAGTACCCTAGCACCCACTCCAACAGTCCATCACTATAAATTTTTATCCCAATACTGCATAATTCAATTCAATTCAGTTTTATTTATACAGCGCCAAATCACAACATCAGTCGCCTCAAGGTGCTCTATATTGTAAGGTAGACCCTACAATAATACATACAGAGAAAAACCCAACAGTCATATGAACCCCTATGAGCACTTTGGTGACAGTGGGAAGGAAAAACTCCCTTTTAACAGGAAGAAACCTCCAGCAGATCCAGGCTCAGGGAGGGGCGGGGCCATCTGCTGTGACTGGTTGGGGTGAGAGAAGGAAGACGGGATAAAAGACATGCAAACTAACCAGCTGACCTGCACTAACTGCTTGGTATTTCCACACACCTTTTAATAACACAACATTAGTATATTTACAGTATTACACTAATACTTAGTATAATTAGTATATTAGGTATAATCAGATATAGTCTAAGTATACTTAGACTATATCTGATTTAAAAACTAAAAAAAATGAGGACATATTCACTAAGGCTATGTTCACACTGCAGGCGAAAGCGCATCAAATCCGATTTTTTTGACCCTATACGACCCATATCCGATCATGGTGTGACAGTGTGAACGGCACAAATCCGATATTTTCAAATCCAATCTGGGTCACTTTCCTATGTGGTACTGAATCTGATACATATCCGATGTTTCAGAAAGCGACTGCTGATTTAATGCGACGGTCATGTCGCATTAAATCAGTCTTTTACGTCACTGACACAAGACAGACGCCAATTATCAGCTCCGGAGAAGACATCGTGAATGATTCCTGGCCATCCAGTGTAGATGTTAGTGAAACTGTTGGGAAGACAACGTTGGAGAAACGTGAACATTTTATTTGTACTTCATAATCTGCAGATTCTGACAGAAATCTGCAACTATCCTTTGAAGCACCGCTCCTCTAAAACAGCAATAAGGATCATTATTAGGTTATTCACATTATTATGTAAATAACAAAATAACTTAAAGCAAAAACTGGGAAACGTGAAGTCCGAAGTCTTTATATTAAGGGCCATCAGTCAAACAACATTGTTTGCTCTGGGTCTAAACAGAGCGCGTTGTGTGTGACATCTTCTTTTGCGCACGCGGGCCGCTTTGAGCGTTCACACTAGAGCGCGTTTGCTGTCGCATTTTATTTGTAGTGTGAACGAGCAGACCAAAAAAAAATCCGATTTGATCAAAAAAATCGGAATTGAGCATTAAGACCTGCAGCGTGAATATAGCCTTATTCAGCAATGCTTCTTTTAAACATAACCGTCTTCCTCTCCTTTCTCTCTTTTAGTGCTGCAATTAAAGTGTTTTTTTTCTCTCCTTGGGAAGGAGCAACTTTACATTTAGCTCAGATATATTTTGTGAACAGTCTGTATGTTTGGTGTTACGTTTTGAGCAGTTTGAAAAGTTGTATTTGAAGTGGTCTGGAACTTTTGTCTCATAAGTACTGCGACTGCACCTTTACGTATGCACCATGAACGCATCACAGGGATGAGAAGGGAAAAGGGACGTCTGGAAGGTGTAAGCAGGCTATGGGATGTCATTATCTTCTTATTACTGAGCAGGTACCTCCAGGCCCTCACCGGAAGCAGTGCCAGGCTTCAGCACATTGAATAGTAGTATGCATTAACCTGCCAATCAGATTTCATTACTCAATAACTGAAGGTGTTGGAACACTTTTCCGGATCATTTGAATTTAACACCTGAACAGAAGAAACAGAGAGCAGGGGCTTGTCCACGGATAGTCTAGCTCTACTATTATGTGGTATTTTTGTGTTTGTTACAGGGGAAGTGAACCGATTTCAGCATCAAAACACAACATCCATGTTCATCAATATTTCACAACCTTAAGCCATTAAGATTTATTGTATCGTTTTACTGGAAGCATGTTCTTTTTTGGCTCTTAGAGTGAAACTACTGTGCAGCAGAGTGATTTCATCATGTGCCACCGTAGAAGAGAGAAAAGGTAAGAAGCTATAATTTTGCTGTCTACACAGTACAACCTGAGGAACTATGACTGCTGCTGCACTGGAATCGTGAGACTTTTTCCTTTCAAATAGCGATGCAGAACAGGCCAACGATATTCAAAATATGCACAAAGTGTTACCATCTTCCCTTCTTTATTGCATGTGTGGATTTGACTGGGCATTAAAAAAAAGGCATTAAAGGTGTCATGCCCCACTCTATTTTACCCAGATACACAGATCCGCTCCTTATCTCTGCAGCTCATCACAGATGAACTGGGCTCTCCGGGGAAGGATCAAGGAAGCACTGAATCCGTCGATGCTGCATATCAAGTGCTGTGTGTGTGTGTGTGTGTGTGTGTGTGTGTGTGTGTGTGTGTGTGTGTGTGTGTGTGTGTGTGTGTGTG